GGGGTATGGATAGATGGGGAAGAAAAAAAAACACTCACACCCACACTCACATCCACACTCTCTTTTCAAATCTATTCCGAAGGTTTGTCTAATACTAAACACAAATCTGAAAATTAGTTGAAATTGATTAGGAATTGGTCGAAAAAAAATGAAAAATATGAATTTTCAGTCAATACCATATCAATTCCTTTCGTTGTATGCTTCATGAATTCCGACTACTGTTTCGGAGAACGGAAAACAAACAGATCATGACTAACATAAAAATCGACAGATAATTAGATTCTTAATTAGGGAATGATATTATATTTAATATCATACTCTAGGAGTTGGTGCATCCCTATATAACATTTATATACTTGGAACGGTGAAATGTTAAACATAGATTTTCTAATAGAAAAACTACATAGACTTAGCGTTAAAATTTCTTACTTGCAATCAATTTTACTAGTACCCTAATGTAATTGAAGTTGTGGGAAACTGATAACTTGAATGCTATTGAGATAAATTAAGTTATGACTTACTTAGCCTTTTTTATCAATCTCGTCAACTAATAGAATTTTTATCCAGCGACTTTTTCGCCATTGTGTGCTCGTCTGACGAGTTCATTTGTTCTTCATCTCTTTATTTTCTATTGGAAAGTTAAGCTATATATCAACACTTGACATGGCATTGATGAATAAAATTTTTCCTTTCACGTTACACTTGCTTTCCTTATTCTTGTGATATTTATACTCCTCCTGAAAGCGTATATTACCGGAATCAATAAAATAAATTGGAAAACCCATTATTTTTATTTTATTTTAAAGAAACGTCTAACATTTGTTAAAGATATGGAGCAACTCGTACTCGACTCCAATATTACAACAAAGGAAGGTTTCCAATTAGCTTTAGCGTATGCAAAAAAAATAAACTCACCATCACATGCGATAACATTATATTATTGATTATTGCTTACGTTGAAAATACGTTCAATATTGATCCAACTGCTTCGCTCAATGATCTTCATGTGCTTGTGGCGCAGGCGTGTTTTCCGGTATCAGCATTATCGTTCTTGATAATGTCATTATGCATGCTCAAAATGAAAATATGAAGAATTTTATACGACGCTGTATAGCTGAACTTGGTATATTTTTTTTTTTTTTTGTAATAAATAATATTCGGTTCTTTTATTCTAATCAAATTGCTTAAAAGTGATCTGCACGTGGAACATCAATTCATGTCAGAATATTTAGAACTAAGTTCTAAGATCATTACCAAACAACTATTATAAGAGACATTAGTTTTTTTGGTTTTTTTTCTCATCATTTTCTGTTCATCTATTTCGTTATTTTTCATTGTTCATTGCAAGATAAACTAGTTCATTAATCATTTAATTATTTTACATAAAACAAAAAATATACAGTGAAGCTTTCGACCGAAGGAGTTTCGTCGCAGTATAATGCTCAAAACAGAGCAAAAAGAGAAAAAAATTGTTTGATATATTATCTAGAACTTTTTTTTCATGTCATTGTAGTGTTAAAAATGACGTTTTGAAGGAGGTCGAAAGCTTTACTGTATATCATTTATATTTTATGTAAAATAATTAAATGATTGATGAACTATTTTATCTTGCAATTAGTTTATTCACTTATGTTTCATCAAATAACATCAGTTCATCGTTCATAAACTCAGATACTTGACGGTTGCTAAGAATATATCTCTATAAAATTCATAATAAATACAGATTCAGATAATATATCTCAGAATTTATAAACCTTACCTTGTCTTCGCCCTACTCTCTCTCTCTCTCTCTCTCTCTCTCTTCTCAACTAGAAACGTCTTTTCAAATATTATTTAATTGAAATATCAGATAATCTGAAAGAATACAACAAGCAATTTTAACACTGATTTATATCTCAATGCTGTAGCACAACAATGAAGCGCACTATATTAAACTTTTCCCTGCCAATAAACATATACGCAGGTGATATGCTCGAAAAAAATAAACTAATCAATAGAATAAATGTAAGCCTGTCATTTGCAGACACTATGATTCTAAAGTGCGATTTGTTTTCAAAATTTGATTGTAAGTCAAGTTCAGTAGACTATTGATTCAAGCACCTACCAAATGATATGTCTTGATTGAATTGAATCCAATCTAACTATCAAAACAAAATTAATACGATTGCAGATGATAAACACTAAATAAAATCACTTTGTTGAAAATATAGGTGGAAGCTGGTTGAGAAATAAGACGTACAAGATTATTATTAATTTTTATGATTTCAATATTCAATGTCTCTGGAAAAATCGAATGCAATTGTTTTTCAATAACTTTTCCTTTTTCAATATTCGTCAATCGACTGTAACCCTCATGGTAAAAATGATATTTCACATTGATCATTCTCAAAAATCTCTTCTTTTTCAGGACTAAGAGGATCACACAACGGAAATATTAAAACATTATTAATTTTGTAAAACGCAAACATTATTTTTAGTCAATTTAATCTAAAGTAAAACGAAAATAATAACATATATTTTAATGATTAACTTTTGTTTTGTAAATATAATTCATTGGTGTTCGACTTCTTTATCAGACTAAACTTTTTTCTTCATTTTTTTATATTATGTCTACGAAGAACAAAACGTGTTCTTGAATTAACTAGAATCTAAATTTCTTGGAAGTGCAGAGAATTGCGAATAAATCCTCGTCGACATTTTTTCTTTTTGAAGAGGTTTTCCATCGGTTTGAAAATTATGAAATTCATTTACAAGAAACTTTTTAAACGAAGTAAGATAATTTTTTTTCATTTAGAGAACATATTACAAATGTCTTTTGCATTTCAAACTTGAATGACATTTTTTGTATATATGCACAGCATCAACAAAAATTGTTGCAGATGACACTATTCTACATTGATCTATTTAGTGGTGAATGATTTAGCAAGTCAATAAATGACAAATTGCTTTCCTTCGTTTAAGATAAAGCTACATATACATACGCTACACACCAAAACGTTTGTGAAACATGATGAATATACCTGTCTACGCCCAAGCACGTGGGAGACGAGGGAGAATTTCATCTTATTGAATTTTGCGAGAAATTTTCTTGTAATAGATTGCACAATTCTGGATGGAATGCAGAACATTTCCTGAACTAATCAACTTTTTTAACACTGAGTGATCGGTTTGTTTTCATCTCACTAAGTTGTTCTCGCTCTATCCGAGATGTTTTTTCTATTACAATTATTGTTGCTTACATCTGCCTTTATAGTTATTTTCAAGTCTCTCTATGGATATTAGTTAAAGACTTCTATCCGCAAGAGAAAATTGTCAATACATGAAATAAAAATTCAACTATTCTCATAAAATAATTGCACACACTTATTACAACGATTTCATTCATTTTCTTTTCATGTCAATTTCAAATACGAACCATAGAAGATCTCGAAATGAATTTTTTTAAATCTATTTTTTCCTAAGGAACAATTACAAATTCTCTTAAAAATCTGAATAGAGGACATTGTTTTTGTTTTTGAATTTTAACTCGATGAAAACTTTTCTTCAATCAGGTTTTGTATATATATTTGAAGACAAATAAGTAAAAAACCACCTTGATTGAATGAAGGACTTTGGACTTTATGACTAAATGCTTTAATGAAAACGTTCAGATTTTAATTTTCTAAACTTGAATTCCTGCTTGAACAGAAATGTGTGCATATATCATATTTCATTTAACATATATCATGTTTTTTAATCTTATGCCAATCAAACGAAAGAAATAATATTTGCAGGTATTTATGTCTGTATATATGAGAGATACAAACAGGTCTATTTTTCTTAGACCTGGCCTGCCTGCAGTGGTCTGTGTATTATCTTATATGCTGTCATTTGTATGATATTTCAACGGAAATAGTATCATGTCTTGATAACAGACAATAATAAACACTCATTGTTCATGTTACACCATTCAAGGTATTCCACTGTGATTATTAAAGTATTTTTGCTACTCAAAAATAATTTTTTTTATTGATAATCATGAAAACTGTGACAAGCAGGTAGTCCATCTATCCTAGGCAGTGTACCTGACCTGAGACAGGCTCGAAAATCATGGTCTATGACTGTCGCAAGCAGACAAGTCCAATGACCTGTTTGGACCTCTGGTATATGCCTATAGCGAATTGATGACTTTGTTCATTTTTCATCAGATTAGTTTAAGACAAAAATAATTCATTAATTAACATCTCATCTAATGCATATTCAATCAAAAAAAATACAAATATATTTCTTTCTAAAACAATTATTGCCAAGACAAATCTTTCAAACATTACGACAAGTTCGACATCACCAGTCAGTGACCATTTTTTACACAACACACGTCTCTGAAATCATACATTTTGTTTTTGCTATAGCCGAAGAAAAGTTTCAAAAAGAATTCATGACAAAAATCAGGACATTTTTTAAGAGTTTTTACTCAGAAATATAGTTTCCTAGAAATCAGTCAACATAAAGAGTTAAATGAATGTATGTCGCTGGTTTTGATCATTTTCGACAGATCAATATGCTTGTTCTCAATACAAGAATCAAAAATAGAAAAAAGATAGTATACATACATCGGAGAAGAATAAACGAAATGATAACTTTGAATCAGATTCATTCCATTAATAAAAAATGTATCCATGAATGTTCGAAAAAGAAGAAGATGCTATATTCAGAGTCAAATGCCTTTAACAAACTCAAATCGAATCTAACTATAATACTGTATTGTACATTATCAAACTACATTTATAAAAGATAATTGCAGTATGCAAGCTTTCCAAACTTAAAATTATTGTTATTAAACTTAAATAGATAATTAACGAATGATTTTATAATGATGAATTCCATTCGATAAATTGATTTATTAAATTTTCACCGGTTTTTATTAATCACTGATGACTCAATTAATATTCATAAAAATGAATCACAAAAAATATTGTATGGAGATTTGTTAAAACTAAACAACATAAAAATGTTTTAAGTTAAACCAAAGCTTTTCGTCTTTGATAAACAATTAAATATGTTGGTAAAGCTAAATAAGCATCATCATTTGTTAATAAAATAAAATCATTATTAATATCATTTTTGGCTAATTGAACAGCAAATAAATAATGTTTTCCTTCGGTTGAACGACGAGTTCCATATACATGACTATTTAATATATCACGTGTCAAACAAATCGATCCATTTCCAAATTGATCACCTGGAAATAAAAAAAAATTAAATATAAGAATGATAAACTATTCAATAAAAAAAAACACAATTAACCATAATTTGAAGCATTTGATGAATGTAAACCATAATGAATTATTGATTGAACTGATGAATAAGAACAACCATGATAATAGAATTTGGTTTCGCCTTTATTTTTATTGATAAAATGTCTATATAATGGATAATTCTCAATTGAATCAATCTATTTTATAAGAAAATTAAAAAATTCTTTTACAAATAAAAATAATTATAAAACGAACTCGTTCAATAACCCAATCATTAGTTGACATTGTTTCATGAAAAACTCTGTGACATTCTAATGATTCATATGCAGATTTGTTTATTTCTATAGTACGAATCATTAACAAGGATGAAGACCATAATGATGGAATTTTCATTTTTGAATCAACTTAAATAAACCAAAAAAAAAAAAAATCTTATAATAAAAAGTGTCTTCTTACGATTTATTTCTTTCTTAACAAGAAACGCCAATTGTTTTGTTCGACTGATTTGTACTTGTAATTTATTTAAATCAATATTGAATGTTATTTTATCATCATCTTCAATACAAATCTAATTAAAATAAAGCTTTTTGTTTAAATCTTAATAAAAGAAAAAGTTTAACTTACATTTGACTCTGCTAAAGCAAAAGCTTCATCGATTTTCAATGAAATAAATGAATTTAATTTAATTTCATCGGATTTCTCACCATGTTGACTTAATACATAACTATATTGATAAACTTTTTTATCTCGACGAAGATTAAAAAAACATTGATAACATGAATCACGATCACCAATAAGTTTTAATTCAGTTTTTGAATAATCAATACGCGGAATAACATTATATTTTAAACATATATCGATTAATAAATCAATCTTATAAAATTATCAAAAAAATGTTTTTTTTTTCTATTTGAATTAATTAAATAAATCTATAAATACTTTATCGAGTAATGATGTTTCAATAAGTGACAAGTCAACACTTTTTTCATGTAATAAATTTTCCAATGATTTTATCAATAAACTATGATGTTCAATCATTTTTGACGAATTTGATAATGTTAACACACGTTTACCTAAACAATATTTTTTATTCAATTCATTTCAATATTCTATTCAGATTTTAATCGCTGTTTTATCGAAATATTTTCTCTTTTCTTCAAAGATAAAAGAAAATTGCTAGAAATTTTTTCAAAGTTAATTATTTTTCATAATCAACATTCAAAAAAAAAATAACATAGTTAAATGTCTATCAGCACAATATATTAGCGGACAAACATCTATTGCCTCCCAAAAATTCCATCAGAAACTGCTCATCCCACCAAGTAGACAAACAATCCAAACGAAAATCACTCGAACTTGAACGAATTAATTTCATAAAATAAGTTTTTATTTAAATTCTGTTCAATTAGATGAGATAAATTTGAATAATTTCTTTTAAAAAATCTAAAGATTCTTATCATCAAAACAATTAAATCTTCATCAATAATTGTCTAATTATAGAGTTAATTTCAATGGACATTAACTAACATATTTTTATTCTGATCTTAAAATTAATTTTCTTCTCTGATACTCAAACAAACATAAAATCTTCGATTAAATAGAAGATCAGAAAATTCTTATGTCTAATAAAATAAAAAAAAAATCATTAGAATTGATGCTTATTTCTGAATAAAACAAAATCGCTTTGAAAAATCATTCAATAATTTAAAGTAAATATACAACATTTTCTATTGAAGACTATAAAAAATGGTTTGAAGAAGAAAATAGAAAACAAACTTTGTATATCTCGTCGAATACATTGTTTTTGTGTATCAAAATTTTTTGATAGTTTTGTTTGATTATCGGTCGTTGGTGTCGAAGCTTTATTTGGTTTAATTTGTTCACAAAGACTATCAAGATAAATTCTGAAAACCTATTTAAATATTTATTTTATAGAAAAGAAAAAAACATTCGGTTTTTAAATGACTTGATAACATTCATCATCATCATGATCATATGGATGATTCGAATTGATTTCAGTTGAAGGATAAATAACAAAAATAACATCCATTTTATACTGATGTAAACATTGACTTGCTCCACTAATCATTGCTTCACAAACAAAAGCTGGATCTAGACCAAGTTGACCAGCACCAATCTTTTTTTTATGATTTATAAATTTTATTTTAATTTATTAAATAAATAAAATATCTTACAGGTGGAAATGATATTGACCTCATATTTCGTTGATGTCCTTGTTCAATACACCATTTAACTAAATCTGACAATGACTTGAATAATAAATTATACTATTTTATTTTATTTAAATAAAATAAAAATTAAATAACCTTTTGAGTTTTAATTGTTTCTGTTTGTTCAATTTGTGTTTGCCAAGGAACAAAAAGAATTCTTCGTGCTGCAGTTAAACCTCCATCAAGAATTAAAGCATCTCCTGAACGATGAGATTCTTTATATTGGGATTCGATTTGATGACCAGCACAACGAAGAACACTATCACATAAATTATTTGATGTACTTACACATATCATCATATCCACCTTTTAAAAGATATTTTTACGTTTTTTATTTTATTCATTTAAGATAACTTACGGGAACTTGACTTATATCACCAGATATAACATCAATTGACGAATCAGTTGCACTTATACGAAATTTTCCGTCCGATGATAGCTATTTTAAATATTTTTCTTTTCTTTTCTTTTTTTACTATTTAAATGGAAATGATAACGAACCTGTTTACTATTTTCATCATCAATTGAAGATGATCTTTTCTAATCAAATTAAAATTATTATTTAATATTTTCAAAAATCAATTTAAATTTCTTTTTTTGTTTTTATACATTTTTATTTAATGTTGGTGAAGATTTTCTTCGTTCAGTTTTTATTTCATGGATTACATCGATATTTACTAAAATAAAAAAATTTACGAGTTTCATCGATAAATTTTATTTTAAAAATTATTATTTAAATATTTTCTTTTCAAATCATATTAAAAGACATTCGTTAGTTATGAGGTAGACTCCTTACTTTATGATTGACAATTCAAATAGAATATTCAAATAAATTGTCAAAATGCTCATAACACTTCTAAATTTCTGGTTTTTTCTTAATTATTATAGAAATTTCTAAAGCATATGTTGATTCTTATCAATAGATAATTGTATATAAACTTGACAGTGCTCGATTCAGCATAGAATATCTATAAACCTATTCAGTCGATTAATAATATAGATAACTGTTCGCAAACGTTAAGCTATGTTATATCGATTGATAATATATATAATCATTATTAATAATAAAGCTGAGTAACTTACAATATTTTCTGTATCTATCTTATTTTACTCTTGCTTAAATTATCAATTTGCGAATAATTATTAAAAAACAAAATAAATGTTCTTTATGTTCGATTTGATCAAGAGCAATATGAATATTAATTGAAATTCTTTCAATAAACTTAATCAATTTCAAAGACAATTCATCCACTAGTTCATTATGAAATCTTTTCATGTTTCTTTTTTTATAAAACTTGCCGTTTGAGCTCATTTTACGATTAAAAAAACGTCTTAATAGAAAACTAGCACAAACCTAGAACGGATCGTCCCTATGGACTTTTGGGACCAAGTTATGACTGTTTCATTAAAATTTCGATAGTTTTATATTAATACCAAATAATTGAAAATCAATATTTCAACATGAGGTTTTGCTCGAATATGTGTCGAATGACCCGTTGAATATTCTAGAGTCAAAAAGAATCTTGTTTTATGGCGATATAGATTTTCGAAGACAGAAATGATTTGTCACAGTAAATTCACAAATATTAAACTCACTTCTAAACTTAATATCTCGACAAAGAAAAAAAGCATTATTTTACGCTGAAACCTTTAGGAACGTTGGCTGTTAGTTTGGGTGATGACTTTGTTAGGACATTGATGAAAGGGACCTCACAGAAAGATCAACTAAATATATTGAGTCTTGCTAAATATTCTTGTCTTTCTCTCTATGAATCATCATTTATGTCAACGTTAATCAAAGACCAATTGAACTAACTTACAATGAACTTTCGATGGTTCAGTAATAATAGCATAATCTATTTGACCTAAATATGTAAAAATATTTGAATAAACACGGTGAAATTTTTGAAAAAAACAAACAAACTTTGTTGGAAAATAAATTCTGCAGCTGATGAACAAATAACAAGAGAAAGATGATCACGGATTTTGACAGTCTCAATATTAAATGTCTCAGGTAAAATAGAATATAATCGCTTTTCAATATCTTTTCCTTGTTCAATATTTGTTACTCGACAATAACCCGATGGTAAACACGATAATATTTGACATTGATCATTTTCAGGAATATGTTTTCTTCCAGGACCAAGAAGATAACATAACTGAAATATAAAAACAAAATTTCCAAAATAATTACAATTTCTTAAAAGTACAATATTATAATTAACATCCATAGCCATATTCTATACATACATGCTGATCGCTAAATGGTTTTTTGTAATAATAATTCATTGTTGTTTGACTTGTTCTTCTAACTGGAATTTTTTCTTTATTTATTGTGTTATGTCCACGAAGAACAAAACGTCTTGTAGAATTAACATTAGCACTTATTAATGAAGCATTTTCAGAAGAATCAATTTCACTAGGATCTATGTATATATATATATCAATATAGATCATCAGAAAAATATAAGAAAAATAATCACATCAACTTGATCTATCAGGATTTAAAAGTAGAAGTCAAATGCTTTTATTGATAGCTAATTGAAATGTGTCACGTCAGTTATAGTTTTGATTAAATAAACTGTTCGATACATTATCTCATAGAAAATTATGCTTGAAAATATTTATTCAATGTGATCTCTTTGAAATACTTTCTTCTCTTTTGAGAATTATATATCGAGAATACAGTAACTCATTTTATCTCAACTAATGAACTCGAACTCTTATGTAACAATCAGCAGATTGCTAACGTCGCCATAATTGGACGGAGATCGACGACTTAGAACGTTGGTTAGAAGCAGTACTTATCGATTGAAAGAAGATATTTATGCATAAAATAATCTATCTGATTGATAAAATTGAAATGTAAGAAAAAAAAGCGTAATTGATATTGAATTAATCGAGATAGAAATAAAAGCAAATATCCTACCATCGTTCGATGGTGATTCATTATTATCATTCATATCATATTGATTAATCTGAGTTAATTCAATATTTGGTGAATAAGACGTTGAAGGTGAATTCGATGAATAATTTGATTGAGATTGCTTGTCATGTTTTAATTGATCTGATATTGAATTGATTTCATTGTTATTTATTTTAGATGTTGAATTTGTACTATTATCATTGTTTTTTGGTTTGGTATCTTGTGTATAAACATCATTTGTTGTTGAATTAAGACGAGAAGAAAATTTAAATTTTCTTTGATTTGTAGTTGATGAATGAAAAGATGATACTTGACCATTTGAAGAAGATAAATTTGATTGAATATTTTCATAATTTATATTTTGATTATTTATAGTAGATTGATTATTTATAGTAGATTGATTATTATGTGGAGAACAAGATTTATTATTCGATAATGAAGGTGAAGGTGGAGCTTTATTCAATTGATTTCTTCCACGGGATCGTCCAAATGTTATATTAATTCGATTTTCGTTTTCATATTTATTTGTATCATTATTATCTAATGTTTGATCAGATGTTTTAGAAATCTTAAAATAAATACAAATAAATATGATTGATATTTATAATAAATATAAATTACATGTTTATTTGATAAATGAACTTGTTCATTATTATTTGAATTTGAAATAAAATCATTTTCAGAGATTTTCGAATAAATTGCATCAACATCATCAGATAAAAGATTTTTCTTGACTGATATAGTGTTTCCATGATTTTGTAATATGAAATTCTCCATCATTGAAGCAACTATTCAAAAATAAACAAAAGAATATTTTATATGTAAAAAAACTCAAAAATTAGTTTATTAAAATACCTTCATCATCATCAAATATAAATTGAATAGTATATTGATCAATGAATCTTTTATGAATTACTAAAGACTTATGATCATTTAACCATAACTGAATTAAATTATCACTTATATGTTGTCGATTAATTGTTTGTATAAATAATCTTGATGAATGCATTATTGATAATGATATTTGTATAAGATGAGAAATAAATTGAAATGTTCGTTCATCATCTGATGATAAATTATATTTTTCAAGAATAAATTTATTATGTTGTGTTAATAATGAATGAGAATGTGAACATTTTCCGTATTTATTTAATTTAGAACACTGATCATTTGTAATAAAATCTTTACAAATATGAAGTTGTTCACATGCTGATGATTTACATGACCCACCTTCATTTTGATCAATTGAACATAAACAAAACTTTAAAAAAATAGCATAAATAATTTATTTTTGAAATTTAATTTTAAATTAAAAAAATTTGTTACATTATTTTGAAAATGAATTGTATTTTGATCTTTTGATAAATGAAAAATGTTTGATATTGTTTCATCATAAAGAAGATCAAGGATTAATTTTCGTGGAAGTGGAAGAATCTTTAATAAATCTTGATCAATATTTATGTCAAGAGATTTTCCACTTAGTTGTAATTTATCAAATAAATTTAAAATCTTTTCGAATAATTCAAAATTCATTTTCAAAATTTTCTTTAACTAACTAAATTTATTTTTTTCCCAGTTCAATAACAAATCATCAACACATTTTGCTTTGAAATTGAGACGAGTCTTTTTTTCCCAGAGAACTTTCAAAAATATTTTTTTGTAGATGACGCTTTTCTTTATGTAACTATTTATTTGTCAAAATATATCAAATCAATAAATGACGTATTGTCGTTTTTTCCATAATTGCGACTCGAGATGAATCATAGTTTATTATCATATTCTACATCAGTTATGTATTTTATTTATGATTTAGAATTAATCAATTTTATTAAATAATTTCAATATAAAAAAAACTCTAAATTTAATTTAGAATCGAATGCAGTATGTTCTGTTATGGGCAAACTCCTGTAAATACATGTCGTAATCTCGACAATTTTTAATTGAAGTGATTTTTGAGAAAGTGATAAGAAAATGTCGATGCTTATAATCAGTAGATGATAATTATGTCTCGTTTTCAGTTGTAAATTGTATGATAGTAAATATTTTGTAAATAAATGGATAATTTAAATATATGATATAGATGTCACTGATTGAAAGTGCATTTGATATTAATTGAAATAGAGACAGCATATTTTAATCCGTATGGGAGGTTACTAATTGTTATCATGTTTTTCAGGAACTTGTCAACTTAGATTTCTATGATAAACTCTATTTTAATTGGTGAAATAAACGAGAAATTCCTTTTTTTCTTTCTTTCTTTTTGTGTCGTATCAAGTTTCTATATGGATGATGAATGAAAACATCGAATGTCTTTTTTTAAATTTTTAGATCGATAAACTATGACAAATAAGAAAAGATAAAAATATTCAATGGTTTTCTCAAGTATATATTCGTATTTGCTGCATGATTATCACTAATTATTTAGATTAGTTAGTCAACCAAGTTAGCATAGATATTGCATGATTATTTTATAGTAGATTTACTTTCTTTTTTTTTTAATCTAGAAAACATGTTTAATTAATTAGTCCTTTATTTTTCATATTAACTTTAGATTTGTAATTAACTAAATAAAAATATTCTAAAAAGAGAATAAATTAAGATCAATAAGAATATAGTAGATAAAAATTGTCAAACTTTAAAGTATTATATTATATTATTTCAGTAGTTAAAAAAATTGATTTTTTTAATATGAACGACACTTTTATTTGAAGAAACTCATATATTTATTAGTATTAAGATCGTGCAAGACTATTTTTTGACATAGATTTTTAGTGTACTTTTTTATAGTAATAGCTAATATTCGCCTACATAAAACTCATAATAAATTAGTTCGACTATTAAACTAAAGAAAAAAATATTATAAAAGTGTTAAGATCAACATTTCAATTTGTAAAAGTATAAAAATAATATTGACATTGTTTATTCGAATAAATTCAATTATGTTAATTCGATAGAAATAAAAATAAAAATCCATTAATTAAAATTTTTATTTTTTTGAGAATCTATTCTTTTGTAAAACTGTATTTCAATATTAATAAATAGATTAACTAAAAGTAAATAATATAGAAAAATCTCTCCATTAATAATATTGATAGTTTAATAGTATTATTTTAGATTTTTTATTTAGCATGATAATTGCTTATTTATGCTTTATTATAACAAAACAATAGTTATAAACAAAAAAGAAAGACTAAAATTTGATATTTATTTTGGTATAACAAATATGTTATTTATTATAGATTGGTTGATAATCGATTCTATTGAATCGAACGTGAATAAAAATCGATTAATCGCCAATGTCTAGAGGTGCCACTACTACTGGTTATTTAGAAGAACAAAGTGCAGAACAAGAAATTCGTCAAAGATTATCGAAACCATCCGAAAAAAAAATGATACCATTATTTCATCGTCGAAAAAGAACATCAAATTTATTTAGTTTGATGAGATATTTATTATTTACATTTATATTTTTAACATTGATATTAATATTATATTCCTCATTATCATTATCACCAATTCTTCGTTTGCTTGATCCATATTCATATGTATTAGTATTAGATGCTGGTTCAACAGGTACACGTATTCATGTTTACAAATTTCGAGCATCAACTGATAATGAAAATGGTGATACATTTGTTTTAAAAAGTGAAATATTTAATGAATCTAAACCCGGTTTATCATCATTTGCTGATCAAATTTATAAAGCTGAAGAACAAATAGATGATTTATTAAAAATAGCTGATCGAGAAGTTAGTCGATTTAAACATCGAGGTACACCATTGGTTTTACGTGCTACAGCTGGTTTAAGATTATTAAATGAAACAAAACAAAAACTTTTATTAGATGGTGTTTCAAATATTTTTAGTAAATATGGATTTTATAGACCTAAGATGGATATTGCTGTTATGAATGAAACTGAAGAAGGAATTGATGCTTGGCTTACTCTTGTTTATCTTAAAGGTAAATTTTTTTCTTCTACTTTAATAGAAAATTACCAATAAAAACAAATAACAATCAACTCATATTTCAAAATGATGAAACTTAAATATTTGATTTTCACAGAGTTATATCAATGTTTGATTATTAATTATAGTATAATTATGAAAAGAAAAAAGAATGATTGTTGTTAGAGTTTTTTGAAATAAATCGTAGTTATTATTTGTTGGCTACAATGATTAATAAGAAAGTTCATATAGTTAATAAAAGATTTTCCTTCTTTTTTAAGTAAATTTTCTTTATATACCTATTATAGAATTGAAGTCAATTACTTTTGTATAAAAAAAAACAACCTATTGGTTATACAAAGAGAAGATCAAATGTTAATAGTCTATAAATTCTGTTTATTTTTGTTGGACTTATTTTATCATATAGGTGATTTAAAATATTGATCATCCGATATATATTCATCATGACTCTTCCTATTGGAAAAGTATTAAGATAAATCCAATTTATTGTACTATATTTGCTAAGAGTGATTCATATAAATAGATATTTTTTTCCTAATGTATAGTTTTTGTTATTGAGTTTGTTGATTTTTGTTGAATGTCCTTGATTTTATGTATATATGTTAAAATACTGCAAAATTTGAAATAAAATATTTTTAGGTGAACAATTTTATGCAAGTCGTATAGCTGCGCTCGACTTAGGTGGTGGTTCAACTCAAATAACTTATAATCCATCGTTATCCAATACAAGTTTAGCTGAAAAATTAAATTTATTATTAAAAGCTCAACAACCAATTGAACCAGGAGAAATAAATGCATTTCGTGATCTTGTTAATAAAAGGAAAAAACAATTGCCGAGAATTGATGTTAATCAAGCTGATTTAGAGGAAATAAAACCAGCGAAAGTAGTTAAAATTCCTGATATATTAAATGAAAATAAAAAATTAAGTGAAGAAGAAATTTTAATGACTCATATGCATCAATTTCGAATGTTTCGTCGAGATATAAAACTTTATTCACGTTCATATTTAGGTTATGGTTTAATGATTGCTCGTCAAAAAATATTTATTAATGAAACAAATGATAAACAATTAATTGAATCACATCAATTAAAAAGTCGATGCTTTTTAAATGATATTATTGGAAAATTTAAATTTCAAGAAGTTGTTTGGACTGTTCAATCTCATGAAGGTTTTCATTTCGTTTTTTTTTTTATAAAACAAAGTAATAATCTGTGCTGTTTTTTTTTTGCTTAAGATGTAAATGGTGATGAACGTTTTTATTCATGCATGTCATTAATTGATAGTTATGTTGGTTTAAATGTGAAAACAGCTGTTGGTCTTGATCAAATGTCGATATATGTGTTTTCATATTTTTATGATATTGCAAATGATGCTGGTTTATTATCATCTGAAGATGATCCATCATCAATAACAATAATACCAATTCGAGTATTAAAACAAACTGCTAAAAATGTTTGTCGTGGTAGAACAACAACATCAAAAGAACATCCATTTTTATGTTTTGATTTAACATATATTTATTCATTGTTAACTAAAGGTTATGGATTATCAGAAGATATTTTAATTCATATTTGTAAAAAAATTCAACAATTTGAAGTTGCATGGTCTCTCGGATTAGCATTAAAATTGTTATAGAACATTGAATTTTTTTTTTCATTATTTAACTTATATTGTTATTCACTTTTTTTTCTGACAACGACAATGAACTTGTATTTGTCAATTTATGTCTTTGTTTTTCCTTTTTTATTAATACATTGCAGATTAATTATTATTTTTTTAAAAATATTTAATGAAAAAAGGATTATTTGAGAATATTCTAGTATTCTGTTTAATAAGAAGAATTAAGTTCAATCCAATGTCAACTTATCAAACAACAAATGAAAATAAACAACAACTTAAAATTGATATTACTAGTGATAATATTTGTCGTGAGTGAAAGAGAATGAAATTCAAAATAAAAGAAAAATGTGTTTGTATTGTAGCGTGGTGTTACATTGGAAAACGTCGTTTAGAAAAAGCACTATCTCAAATAAATTCATCTGATATAAATGTATCAATATCATGGTATCCATTTGCATTAGATCCAAATCTTCCACGTGATGGATCACTTATGAAAATGGATCGTTATAAACAAAAATTTGGTGAAGCATTTATTAAACAACGATTACCACAAATGATTGAAACAGGTAAACAAGAAGGAATTGATTTTTCATTTGGAGGTAAAATAGGATCAACATTTGATTCTCATCGTCTTCTTTATTATGTTAAACAACAAGAAAATGGTGAAAAAAAACAAAATGATTTAATAAATGTTTTATTTCGTGCTTATTTTGAACAAGAACAAGATTTATCTGATCATCAAGTTTTAATTCAAGCAGCTCAACAAATTGGATTTGATTCAAATAAAATAAAAGATTTTCTTCAATCAGATCAATATAAAAAAGAAGTTGAACAAGAAATAAATCGAAGTCAACAAGAAGGTATATCTGGTGTACCACATTTTCGTATTAATGATCGTATTGAACTTAGTGGAGCTCAAGATCCACAACAATTTATTCAAGCTTTTAGAAAAGTTGGTCTTCATATTTAAATTAAATGAGCTTATTTATTTTTTTTTTTATTTATTCCTGATCTTATCTATTCGAGTTTTTTTCTTGAAATATTTCCTAGTGCAAATGATTTTAAATATCTTCTTTTTTTTTCATGTAAATAACAATTTAAATGTCTAATTATCTTGCTTAGCTAAGAAGATAAAAATGTTTTAATAACGAAAATTAAGTTGTCTTGGTGTCATGAATTGCCGTACTACATCGATTGTAATTTGTTTTCGTCGTTCTTGATGTTGACCAACTAATGTTTGTAAAACTTCAATTAAGATCTTTTTTAATTCACCAGTTAATAATTTTCCAGATGAATAATCCTTTTTTTTTGAAATAAAATAATTTAAAATAAAATTAATTATGAAAAAAGACAAAACTTTACTTGTCGAATCTGTTCAAGTCTTTCATCATCATCCATAAAAAATCTAAGATATTGAAAAGATACATCAATATCACAATCACCACCTTTAGCTCGATGTTCTTCTATTGAATCTTTTCCTCCACTAAATGCATGTTTATTGATCTATTTATTTTAAAATTAATATTCAATTTATGAATTTAAAAAAAAAAAGTATATTTACTTTTGTTTTAATATCTTTTTGAGAATCAGTTAGAAAAATTGATGAATTTGAATCAGATGCAGACATTTTTGATTTTGAACCTTGAAGTGCAGGAAAAAATGTTGAATGAATTAATGCAGGTTTTGGAAAATTTAAACGTGGTGCAACATCACGTGTCATTCGAAAATATGGATCCTTTTTTTAAATAATAATCATAGATTATTTATAGAAATCATAAATTCTAATAACCTGATCAATAGCACATGGAATTAGACAAGGATATTCGTGTTTAATTTTTTCACCAAAAATAAATGGAAATGATGAACTGACACAAGGTGCCGCTTGAATAGCAGGAAAAGCTATTTTTCCAATACAATCACTTTCAGTAAAACCAAATATTCCTATTAGAATAAAAATCTAAAAAATTATTTGATTGAAATCATTCTATTGCAAATTAACCTTTAACTTGATTGAAAGTAACATTTTTTTGAATACGACAAATATTTCGATAAAAATTTGGACATTGACTATTTTAACAAATTAATTTCAATTTCGATAAAAGTAAAACAATTAACTTACGCCATAAAATCAAAATCAGAAAAAATAAATGTTTTTGTTGGATCAAATCCACATGCAATTATATCTTTAGCATTTTCATATGCATATTTATTTGCATCTTCAACTGTTATATCTTTCCAGAGATATTTTTCGTCATCAGTCATTTGTATTACTAATGGAACATCAAATGCATCTTGTAACCATCTTAAATTGTTATTTATTTTTATTTTCAAAAACAAATTTTTTCTTTTTTACTTTGTCATTATAAATGGGATTAAATGACCAAGATGCATTGCTTCAGATGATGGTCCACGACCTGTATATAAGAAAAATGGTTTCTTCTGTTCATATGCTGTAAGAATTAACTCAAGATCTCTAAAATAAGCACAAAAAAATTGTTTTTCTTTTTTTTTTAAATAGATTTTCTTTATGAACCTGTGTGAAAAAAAAATTCCTCGCCGAATAAAATGATGAACAGGTTTTTTAATGATCGATTCAATACGTGTTATTAAATCAGGAGAAATTTTTGATGAACCAAATCGACCTTAATAAATCAATAAAATATAGGAATAACCAATATTGAATAGTGACATACGAATAAGTTTATCATAATCAATTCCAGTATCTGAATGACCAATTACTTCCCATGGAGTAACTTTATCCTCAGTTTCATCGATTGTTTTTTGGATTGCTTCTTCTGCTACTGGGAATGACATTCTGAAATAAATAATAAGATTGCATCAAATTATCGGCTTTTTATAGTCATTCAATTGCATCAGATTCTATCCTTGACACATGTAAAAACGTCAGGTCCTTGCAACAGACACTTTGTTCTATGGTATTTTCTATTAGCACAACAATTATCCAATCAAATTCAAGTTTGACGTTGCTTCTATTGTTTGTCTTTTTGTCACTTTTCAGAGAAAAGCAATTTTTTCTAGTGTAACTTAAAAAATATTATGTATTTATCTTATTTCGAGTTTAGTAAAATTGAATAGATCATTCATCTTTATTATTCATTTTCGATAGATGTCACTAAATGCCTGAAGTATGTTCAGATATAGAAGAAAAAAGCCAAATTCGTGGAGATTTTCTACTCAACCAAAGAACCATCCTGAAATTTCTTGGTAATTTCTAAAATCTCACAATATCTATCGATAACTATCATGACGCAAAAGTATATTCAACCAAAAACGACGACACTTCCCCAAATACTAATAAGAAATTTTTGAGTCAATTATGAAAACACTAAGCCATTACAAAACTATTTCTATCTTATTTCGATAATGAACACACTCTCAATAGGAGATCTGCCACTGTTTTCAGAAACCAGCAAACAAATTATACAGAAATTATTAGGAAATTTCGACAAATACACGAATTACTCTATTTATTCCATATAGATATCAATGTAGCGTCATTTCAAAAAGAAGAACCTATCCTTTAAAACATTAATAATTTTAAAAATTACTAAGAAATTTCCAACGCTCCAAAAGGTATCGTCTTAATAATCAAGGAGATTGACATGGACGTCAAAAAAAGATTTCGTAATTCCTCTATTCACTGAAATTTTCGAAATCTTCCTGTAATAACTAAAAGTAGTCATATTTTTGGAGAGTAAAGTCTTGTTCTTCGTAGGAAAATACACTCATATTCATCGAGAATATATATATAAGGTAATATCGTATCTACCGAAGGTTGATAGTAATTTTTACAGTAACTATTTAAATTCGACCTATGATTTGGATGAAATTTTTTCTCTGACGTACTCTTTGCATAAATTTCTAAATATTATACCTTTTTCAGTGTTTAGGTTTTCTGAACATACTTGGATGTTCCTGCGGTTTTTTTGAACCGCTTATTATTTATATTATCTAAAAGTTGCTCAGTGATATTTGACGAACTTCGAAATTTGTTGTACTGTACGAGTAAATACTGAAGTTTACTTTTGTTGTTTTGATAACGTTAAGATATTTTCTGTCGGATACATGAGTATTTTCTAGCTGACAGTTTCGACTAATTTAAGGCCACCCTTTCCCTACCAAAAACTCGACTTTTCTAAAAAAAGAAAACATTCTCAGATAAATAAATGCAATGATCCCTAAGGTATGTAGTTTTGTAATTTATATGAGTGACTTCCACTTTCAAAAGGTTTCTACAGAAATCATGATGAGTTTCTAGAGTTCCCCAGCAAAAATGCCAATACCATTTTCAAACAAAAATTATAAGCGCTAACGCAGTGAAGGTCCATTATAACAGTCTAAAATGTAGCTAAAGAGCCATTCAATAAGGCTCTAGATGAATTTTTCATTGGTATGTAATATAACTGCATTAGATGCTTTTTTCAAAACGGTACTAGTGCAATTCGTTGTCAGACAATTCGTCGCATATAAAGGAGAGGATACATTAATTGAAATAAGTGATTTATTTTAATATGTTATTGAATTAATCACTTTAATAAATGTTTTCCTTTAGAGTTTTAGGACTGTTTCTTGACAATACAATTTTTTTTCAGAAAATGATAGTGTCAATTTACAGTTTATTCATTTTAAATTTAAATTAGCAAAAATTGAAGGTTAATTTTAAATAAACTTTTAGAAAGTTAAATTTAAATGTACCAACTCTAAAAAATGATATGCAAACAATACTAGAGTGTTATAAAATTTAATACGATCATTTCTTTTAATGTCTACAGCATCGAAAACCTAAAACCGATTTCAAAAATTTTCGAAACCGCGTCATCCATTGATCGAGCAGCTTTTCAAATCACAGAAAATTGTTTCAAAAAGTACTAAACGAATCATATACCTCAAGAAAGAGCAAATTTTGCCTTCATTTCTTCTTGGTTTTTCTTAGCTCAGAATTTCCTCAGGAGTCATCTCCTTAAACGACTTGAGTTGAGTCTAATTTAATAGCAGACTATTTGCACTTTAACAGAAGAATTTTTTAAAACAATTTTTTCAGAACTAAATTATTTTGTTCCTTCAAAGCACATCTTCTATCCATCACGTAGATCTAATTATTCC